CTCATGCGAAGCCTTGGGGCTGCATACAGTCTGGTCTGATTAGCAGGTCGACCCTGCAAGATCAGGGGTGCCCTTGTATCCTGTCTGCTGCCTTTCATGTCCTCTCCATGTGTATGCAGCATAGGTTGCGTTCGGAAGAGACTTGTGTCCTCTTGGATGTCCTCTGCAGTCGATCCCGACGGTATCGGTCTTGCCATGATGCCGTTCGCTTACTCCATAGACGTCCCCCTTAAAAGACCAGACCACCCACCCACACCCCTTGCTTCACGACCTGCTATTCTGGTCACCTCCTGCCGAAGGCGCCTAGATAGTCAAGCCCTTTCTGTGACAGCGCGAATGCAATTCATGATGATGGTGGTGATGATGATGGTCATGATGATGAAGGTGGTGGCACGGGTGAGGATGACGCATCGCCTTGATAATGGGGTTGCAGGCATGATCATCAAATTGTAACGGGTGGTTTCAACGGCGATAATTCCCCCATCAGAGCTTGCTTCTGTAGAGCCCTAGCGGATTCATATGATTAGGTGAGAATTGCCGCCGATTTCCGCGGCCCGCCCGGGTGCCCGGGTGCCTGCGTGCCCGGGTGCCCTATAGCCTGATAGCCCCGTAGCCCCATAGCCGTATAACTCTATAGTCCTATAGCCCTAGAGCCCTATAGGTCTATAGCCCTATAGCAATTTAGCCCTAGAGCCCTCTAGCCCTATAGCCCTATGTCTTTAGCATCTTTTTGGCGTCTGACGCTTTGGGCGCTTCATGGATGCGCTTGTGCAGCGCGAGCGAGGTGTCATGGGATGGGTGGGAGCAAGGTGCTCCGACGCGCCCCAGCGATCTGGGAGGTGCCCTCGGGGCGCCCGCGGCGAGCCCCAATGGTCGCCCAGTGGCCGCGCGAGGAGTCGGAAATCCGGCCGTCCAGCCATTCCCGCCCTACCTATGTGCGTCCTGGTCCAGTCTGGCCCGTTTACCCTTCGGACAATGGGCGGCGAGGCAAGCGGTGCAGATGCCATCGGCGCATCCCCGTTGACTTGGACAAACCGTGGCTCAGTGGGGAGGGGGGAGTGGTCGGACGTCAGATGTGGCCCGAACGCGCTTAGCTTGTCCCTCGCCATCTCTCCTCCCGTCTCCCTCTGCGGGTTCGGCGTGGGCGACAGCGCGGGGCAATTCCTTCGGCGCCTTTCACTTCCTTTCCTGGTGGGGTCCGCGGGTCCGGACGTCATGATACGTCTCAATTGTGGCCTCGGTTTCCTGCGTCGCCAGAGGAGGAGGAGGAGGAGGAGGTGAGGAGGAGGAGGAGGAGGAGGAGGAGGCGATGGAGGAAGAGGAGGACGAGGTGGAGGAGGAGGGGGAGGAGGTGGTACAGTAGGAGGAACGGAGGAGGAGGAGGAGGAGAGGAGGAGGGGAGGAGGATGGGAGGAGAAGCAAGTGGAGCAGGATGGGGAATGATGAGGAGGAAGGAGGAGGAGGACTTGGCAGGGGAGACTAGGTAGGAGGGGTAAGAGAAGGGGAGCTAGGAGGACGAGGAGGACGAGGAGGAGGAGGAGGGGGAGGAATATGAAGATTGAGGAGGAAGAGGGAGGAGGAGGGAGGAAGAGGATTATTATAAGATAAAGCAGACTACTAATAAGACACAATGAAGAAGACGGGGAATAAGCAGAAGAGGATGAGAGGACTGGATATTGGATGGAGGAGGGAGGGAGGAAAAGGAGGAGGGAAGGCTAGCTGGGGAGGGGGGGGACATGGGGGGTCTGAATTCCTCCTTCCAGTTTCTTCATTTCAATCAATCTGATATCTATAATATATATATCTATCTATATATTTATATATATACATTGGGGGGGGGTCCGATTCTCTGGATGTGATCCACTGGACCTGGTTGTTTAGATATGTTTCTCTGGATGTGAGCTATTGGATCTGGTTCTGGATATGAATCATGATGTCACTCTCTGGATCTGATTCTCTGGATCTGAATTGAATCAGATTCGAGTAACCGAAGTTACTTTAGAATGTTATAAAGGTGCCCGATTAGATTTACATGTTCAAATGTTATCAATCGTTTCCTAAAGTAGCCAACTGTTATTAGATCTTGGGGTGGTTGTTTCAGGTTTTTCAGTTTGATTGAGTGTTCATAAACTTACCTAAATGTATTCAAATTCGTTTAAACCTATCTACATATGTAGTATTGCTATGTAAGGTGTTGCCTTTTTAAGATTCTTAATAAAAGGAAACGATTCAAAGTTGTATACCCATTCATAGTATTATCCAAAATTATGTAGTATCTATCGACATACAGTCGATTGCCTCTCACTGTTGTAACTGGTTAAAGTACTCCAAATGTTTTAAGTCCATTTCAATTCATCCAGATCTATCTAACTCTATCGACCCCTGCTTACATTCATTCAAATGTGTATAAATGTGTCTAAATATATTGGATATGTAAACTTGCCGCTCGTTCTATGTCAGAGTGAGGGGGCCGAACGGTCATTCACTGTCCCTGGGTGCGTGGCTGAAGTGGGATTCCGCGGTGCGGATTCGTGTTGTTGTTTGTTGTTGTTTGTTGTCGTCG